GGCATTTGTTTATGATAGTATCGTTCGTTCCGGTGCACTCCGGCAGGACTATAGCACATCGAGATTAAGATTAAACAAATTTCTTTCACTTGGGAATACACTTAACTATGGGGAACCAGATTTGTGTAAAGTACTGTTCGTGGTAATTTGAAAACAAATGCCGGTGGTGTCGGATACACACGAACACAGAGCGGAGCTGAGCACACACACACACACACATCATGCGCCCCGGTGACAGGACATCTCCTTCATAAAACGAGGGAGAATACTCTGGTAGTTCGATGTGTGTATATGTGTGTGTGGTTAAACGTAGCAGCCTCGATCTCTATTCAGCGGTTCTAATGAAGGGAAACGCAGTGAAGTAAACAGTAAAAGGCACAGCTCTTTGCAGCTGGTGCTGCTCTTCTCAGATTCTGCTGAGTTACACGTTACTGCCTCCAGTGCCCTGTACGACGAAGCCAGTTCAACAGACCCTGGACCTGGATATGTTTGATTTACCCGGCTTAACTAACCCTAACAAACGCGATGTCGCTAAGCGGTCCTACGAAGCTGGTTATCAACTCAGTAAATCAACCAGGGTTTCTCTGTCCGGCTGAGCGCGCGCTCACGTGAAAGGGACAGGGTTACCAACATTTGACCAATCACAAACATGGAGACGCGTGCTGACAGCGCAGCGTCATACTTCATGAATGAATAGTGTAAATAGCAAATCCTGCTTCGTAGTACAGGCCACTGGTGCCGCAGAGATTTCATAAAGTGAAGGAGGTTTTCCTTCTATAAAACAGCTGTGGGCAGCAGATACTGTGAGTCTCGGACAGGAATCCATCAATTTAAATAAAACGAGGCCACGCTTTATTAACTCGTGCGCACGAGTTACTAAAGCGTGCGCACGAGAAAGTAAAACGTGGTCACGTTTTATTTATTTTTCTCTCTATTAACCGTCCAGGGCTCCGTAGGTTCCTAAGCTAAATGGACTATTGGAACGCAACCCCGAGTTGTAGTTCATTGAGCGCTTCACACAAAAAAATGTGTTGCTTCACAGTTTTACGACACGTTTTTATTTTTTCATATCTTTTAAATTGACAAACATCATATGTGTAATTTGTTGCACAATTCAAACGGGATCAAAAGATAATCTTTCTCTCTCCATTGACTTCAATACATACTTTTTCCGAAATAAGGTCCCATGGAGGTCCCCCGGAAGGGGAGGGACTTTGCCACTCTATGAGAGTTCACATGTATGCTACATTGAAGGGTGGAATTGACTACACATCTTCAGAAACATAATTTGCTTCAGATATAACTCATAGCAAATAAAGTATAACAATACAAGTAATAAAAAGATAAAACACTGGCAAGTAATTTACGTTAGAATAAATAGAATGGTTTTGAATAATATATGAGAGTAAAATCTACGTCACTTTACAGCCCCGCCCACTTTTGGGGAAACCAAGGCTGTCATTTGAACGGCGATCAAGTCTGAAGCCACAGAGCTCTTCTTTTACTGTCCTTTCTTCTTAGAGGACAGTAACTCTGGATTTGTTTTAGTTTGAGGTGCAATAAATGACACAGCAGCTTTTTGGCATGTTAAAACTGTTATTTTCTGCCTCACTCATGAGAGTAACAGCTGGAGAAATTACAGCCTTGTCTACTGATTTTAATTTAACCATATATCGAGCCCGATTCTCGATTTCAAATGTGTGCTCTAAGATGATATTTATAAATGACTATTATCATTATTATAAGCAAGACAATAGCAATGGCAAAGATATGTAGAAAATAAACGTATTTAAGATACGTTCATAACAAACGTAACATGGGAGAAAATAAGTTTCTAGCTAAACGTAATTGAGAATGCAGTTTAGTTCTGTGGGAACGTAATTTTTAGGAGACAGGGTTGGACTTTTTTTGTATGAATTTATGTTTCATCCAATCACAGAACTTGTTGACTTATCACGAGGTTTGTCAAAGCGGACAGGCGTCGTCACAACAATAGCTGGGGATTGTGGGTAGTGTAGTCTCTGTGGCGCTCCACATTTCAGAGAAAACAAGTTGTTTCTCAGAATTTAAGGGGAAAAACACAAAAGCATTGTACACAATTTAAACCTATCAATGTCATTTAATTAACAAAGGTAATCTGGTGTTTTTGAGTTGATGAGTAGTGGAGATATCACTGTCAAATCAATCGACAGTAAGGAGAATACATACTTCCGGGTGTACAATTCTCCGTTATCCAATGGGAATGGACGCTCACATTGCCTTTAAGAGCTGCCGACATAAACAGATGCGGTGCTTCCATGAGCATCAAATACCGCCGCCAATGGGAATACATTGCAATCAGTTGAAAGCTCTTTGCATCCGTTTATGAAGCTGAAGGAGTCTCGGCGCGTCCCAACTGCACGCCACGGTCACCGGGTCAGCGTCGCTCCTGGACGTTTAGGGAGTGAGAGTGTGTTGTCACTACATACTGAGCGGTTTCCTAAAGGTTGCCACATGCCATACTGTAGTTCTTGACCAAGACAAGTTTTTCTTCAAGAAACAATGAATGTTGCTTTTAAATGTGCTGTATTATGTTGTTATGATTGAATATATCTGAATTAACAGGCCTCCCTGTGTCTGTCATCGTGCGGTGCATTAAAGCAGAAACCTTTGAGTCCGAAGCCAATGCAGAAGTGCCTTAAACGTGCATTATTTCTAATAGTGGCTACTCCAAAGTCTGGTTGTATAGAAGTCTGGGAGTAATTTATATGTCTTTTTACTTCTTTTATGACCTCAATAAACGTTTCCCCAACAAAATGATTGTCTGAGTAGCTAGTTTAATATATGCGTCTGCTCTTTTTGTATATCGTTGTCCAATTTAGATTAAAATTAATTTCTTAACCTGTTCAAGGCGTGGCTACCCTGTGATTGACAGGTCGCTAGTACGTTGTCTGGTTTGAGTGTTGTCTGTGTTTTGCCTAAGAACTTTAATCTAATTCCATCAGAATAAAAAAAAATCTGTATTCACTTTTACTTTACTCCACCCTGCCGTGACACGTATGGTTCCTAAAAACCAAGATGGTCAAAACGCTAAACTGGAGGCTTCAAAATGGTGGCCCACAAACCAATTGGTGATTTCATGTCCACTTCTTATATACAGTTTATGGGCTCGCTCCTCTGAAGCAATGACAGACAAAAGCATGCAGAGTGATGACTGAATGAAGCAACTTGCTCGCTTGCTCACTGTTTGAAACATTGACCCCATCGGACAAAATCACAGTTTTTCGCCTGTTTCTTTAATGCGCAATTTAACTATGATGACTCTAAAAGTCATGACAAAACACTACAAAAAATCTCAAAATGCAAGAAAAACATACGAGTGGTATTTAAAACGATTGAATGTGAATTGATAGGACTAGAAGGTTTGTGTGGGTGCTGTGCTTGGGACAACTGCTAAGTAGGGTAGGTTTGAGGACATAAGTTCATTTGGGGGGTGTGGGGTTGCAGCACATCGTTAAAATTCTCAAAGGGGATTTAATGACCCAAAATGTGTCCAGCTGCCAATTGGGAGGGATGGTTGGCAGTAAATAAGCATGAGAGTCAGGAGCCAAAGAAGGCTCTGAGGGACAAACGAAAAGGGAGAGCAATGTATTGGGAATTAAAGATTGCATGTGGACAGGTAAACAGTGCTCATACAGTACTAGGACAACAATAAAACGGTATGAGAGAAATGAAGGGATTTTTATATGTGACTTTCTGATCTGATAGTACAAGTTGAGCAGCTGAATTAATGGCTAATGGAACTGCAGTATCATCAAGGGAGGGCAAGATTAAGTGATTTCAAGAGGGTTGAGCATAAAAAACAATAAATGCTTTCATGGAATACACTTTAATTGTGGGATCGGACAAATGTGTCTGGTGTTAAGAATGTCATACCCAATCAAAAACATAAATGGAAGATATTCTCCATATGATAAATGACAAAAAAAAGATCTGACAAGAATACCTAGGTTTATTGTCATGGGGCATTTTTACAGACCTATATATCTGGCTTTTCTTACAGCGATTACTGTAGCTGCAATGTGTTGCCTCAACTGCTGAGCAGAAGACTTCCTTTCTGCTAACTTCGATCAGCAAACAGGAAGGAATGATGCCGGAGTGAGCATAGGGTCAGGAAGAGCTGTCAACATACCTGTCTCCCCTAGATGCTATCCGTACTGAAAGACTTTCCCCTGGGAGTGAGGTCACACATCACCTCAACAGTTTGTTCCCATGAGATGTCACGCTCCCTAAAACTAACCAGAAAATCGCCTTATTGCTCCCCACAACTACCATCTAATACCTTATACTTCTACTCTTTTTATTTTTTTAGATTTAGAGTTTTTGCAGTATCTTGCAATCCCTGCACATCTTTAAATCCTAACCAACATAAACTGTGAATATCAGAACCTTTACTATAAGATGTGACAGCTACGAAAAAGGATGGATTCAGCATTAATGGTAATTTATGTGACACATCTCTGTCTATTCAGCATTAACGTTGTCATTGCCAGGTTTAAATGCCACTATAAGTCAATATATTACTTGGCACTGCTTAACCATTAGCTGCAACAACAGTGAAGGAATGTGCTGTATGTAGCACTTTTGAAGCAGTGGCACCTCCAGACATTTTTCATAGGGGTGGCCAAATGGGGCCACTGAAAATCTTGGGGTGGCCCACCCAAACCAAGAATGTAATTGTTGTAAAAGTATAGACTAGATGAAAACAATGGCAAAGATAATCACCTACTGATATACTTTGGTTTCTTATTTTACATTTTCTAATACTATTCATCTGAAGTGAATATAATACGGATAGTTAACATTTTACTTCAAACAACATTTAAAAGAACCTTGTTTTGTGTTATGTATACATGTGTTGGTGATTTATTGTTTTGTTTTTTATATATGCTAGTTGTTCTTTCCTTTTAAAAAGACAAATACAGCTTAATTTAAATAAGTTCCTTTATTGTAAGGCACAAAATGTTCAGCATTCTCAACACATACAATACACAACAGCAACACAACATGTTCTTCAGTTATATTATGTCTCTAGGTCAGTGGTTCCCAAACGGTGTGCCGTGAGGCAAGTCCGGGTGTGCCGTGGGATTTTGTGACAACCATACGTTATTATTGCAATATACAACTACACAAAAATAATTACTTTTTAATTTACTATATCAGTACTTTGTAGGTTTATATGTACGTAATCTGCGCGACTTGCGCGTCCACATCTCCACGTGCAGTGCTGCATAAACATGGCTGAGTCAGCGATAACTCTCGAGGGCTGGAGGTATGCCCATTATTTTGAGTTCGTCCGAAGAATAGACAGGAATGTGATGGTGAGGTGCAAACTGTGTCCAGGACAGAAGCTGTTATCCACTGCTGTAAACACCACGTGGTCAAACCTCAACAAACACCTGCAAAGAACACATGCTAAGGTGAAGCTACCGCACAGCTATTTGTTGTTTCTTTATATCACGTAGTCTGTTCTTCTTCTCTGTCTTCCGGTTGTTGCCTGTTTTGAATGACAAATACACACTACCGCCGCCTGATGGTAAGGAAAGTTATTGCCACTCACGCATGCGCAGTTCGTACGTGCTCGGCGAGTAAAGTAACGAGTTACTTTATGTAGATAGTAACGAAGTAGTGTAATATATCGGCAAAAATATTTACAATAGCACATGTTTCAATGCTGATTGCTGAAATGTTACATTTATAATTTGTAGTTCAGGACCATGCAATGCAGCTTCCTTGCATTGACAGTTCTCTGTGCTGAATTTCTGCTGAGTTTCCTTTGCCTCATTTTTTATTTTGTGACCTGTCTGGTTTAAATGAGTGTGTTGCTGTTTGATGAAGCCTAATTTGATAAAGTTTCAAATTAATTTCTGAAATATTTCGTTAATAAATATTTCATGAGTAATATAGTTGTCTTTGTCACATTTTATTTGGCATTAGTAAATAATTATGCACATTTACAGATATTTTACATGATATGAGTGATAACACGTGTTATAAGGGCTATTTTGCACAATAGGTGTGCCTTGAGATTTTTACTTGTCCTTTGGTGTGCCTTGGGCACAAAACGTTTGCTCCACTGCTCTAGGTTATAAATTGTTTTAGACTGAACAAAGCTGTTTGTGTCACACTGGGATCAAAGATGATTGACATGACTTTATTAAATCAAGTTTTAAAACATGACTATTTTATTTCAACAGGACCCAAAAACACAAGGGGTATAACATGGTAAATACATACTGTGATTGAACACAAAAACACCATCTATTATTGACCTTTATAGCAAATTCAAAACATTATAAATGATACAAAACACCACCTTTTAGTATTAGGCAAGGCAAGGCAAGGCAAGGCAAGGCAAGGCAAGGCAAGGCAAGGCAAGGCAAGGCAAGGCAAGGCAAGGCAAGGCAAGGCAAGGCAAGGCAAGGCAAGGCAAGGCAAGGCAAGGCAAGGCAAGGCAAGGCAAGGCAAGGCAAGGCAAGTTTATTTATATAGCACTTTTCAACACAAGGCAATTCAAAGTGCTTTACAAAAAATGAAAGAGATTAAGAAAATGGCATTAAAAAGAAAAGCTAATAAAATAAACATTAAAAGAAAAAAATACATGGCAGTCAATTAAACATTAAAAGAAAAAAGTACATGGATAAAAGTTACAGTGCAGTCTAAGATATGAATAGTTCAATTAAAAGCAGCGGCAAAAAGAAAAGTCTTCAGCCTGGATTTAAAAGTAGTCAGAGTTGTAGCGGACCTGCAGGTTTCTGGGAGTTTGTTCCAGATATTTGGAGCATAATAACTAAACGCTGCTTTACCATGTTTAGTTCTGACTCTGGGGACAGAAAGCTGACCAGTCCCTGAAGACCTGAGAGATCTGGATGGTTCATAATTTAGCAGGAGGTCAGAAATGTATTTTGGGCCTAAACCATTCAGTGCTTTATAAACCAGCAGCAGTATTTTGAAATCTATTCTTTGACACACAGGAAGCCAGTGTAAAGACTTCAGAACAGGAGTGATGTGATCCACTTTCTTAGTGTTAGTGAGGACTCGAGCAGCGGCGTTCTGAATCAGCTGCAGCTTCCTAATAGATTTTTTAGTGAGACCTGTGAAGACACCATTGCAGTAGTCGAGTCTACTGAAGATAAAAGCATGGACAAGTTTTTCCAAATCCTGCTGTGACATTAGTCTTTTAATCCTAGATATATTCTTTAGGTGATAGTAGGCTGATTTAGTAACAGTTTTAATGTGACTGTTGAAACTCAGGTCAGAGTCCATGACTACACCTAGATTTCTGGCTTTATCTGTTGTTTTGAACATTGCACACTGAAGCTCAGTGCTAACTTTTATACATTCTGACTTGGCTCCAAAAACCATTACCTCAGTTTTATCTTTGTTTAATTGGAGAAAGTTCTGACACATCCAGTCATTGATTTGTTCAATGCACTTATTCAGTGTTTGAATTGGAGCATAGTCTCCTGGTGAAATTGTCACGTAAATGTGTGTGTCATCTGCATAGCTATGGTAACTTATTTTGTTGTTCTTCATTATCTGAGCCAGTGGTAGCATGTAGATGTTAAAGAGAAGAGGCCCCAAGATGGAGCCTATTAGACAGAAAATAGGTGACGAGACATATTTCTATTTTTTTTTTAGATTAGGCCACTGTGGTGAGAGTAATACATATAGCTTGTATTCCATTTGTTTTGAAAATGTATATTTATACTTTATAAACAAACTGGTTACCCTTTTTTAAAATTAGCATACAGAACATTATGAAAACAAACTTGACTAATGGTCGGCTCATAACCTCAGAACACAGAAAAGGAAAAACTGCATAGATTCTCGTTTCATTTTGAAGGAGCTGCATACCTAAAGTGTGTAGAAGACTTAAATGATTACAAAGGTCACAATCACATTAATAAAACTGTAAGTTTCACTTTTACAAAACAGAGTTCCACATGTACATATGTAGTATGTAGTATGTATGGCCATCTCCTCACTAGCCCTATGCTGCTGCTCCCCTGCCAGCTGTCTCTCCTTTACTCATCTTCTTCTTAAAATAAGAAGAAATGTCTGTTGACTTTCTCTTCATTTTATGCAAATTGACATTAAACACAGCAGTGATTAATAGTAGCCTACGCATTACACCAGCCCAGCATACCGACATCAGCTAACGTTAGCTTAGCAAGCTAAACTAACGCTAACTAGGATAGCCGCCAAAGTGTGTAGGCCTACAGACGAATTATTATACCTGAAGTCAAGCCAGCCTTTACTGAGCCCCGAGCCTGTTTTGCAGGTCTTCCGCCGTTTTTCTCGTTTTAATGCCATTGAACACACATTTTGATCAGAATAACAGCTAAAGGTAAGCATATCTCCGTTTTTTGCTACCTAAAGCTAACACACTAAAACCTAAAGTGTTGTGGGGCTTAACAGGCAACGAACGTATACGACTTACCTTCTGGTCTGGTGGATTTTTGTCAAGTCAGTAGAAAAGTCAGTAGAAAGAAACGTTTTGCTGCAACCTGCTGCTGTCTGTGCAAATATCAGAGTGGTGCGCGCGAGTATCAGAGTGGTGCGCCGAGTATCAGAGTGTTACCATGGTAGCAGTGGGACGTATACGACTTACCTTCTAGAAGTCTGGTGGATTTTTGTCATGTCAGTAGAAAAGTCAGTAGAAAGAAACGTTTTGCTGCAACCTGCTGCTGTCTTTGCGAATCTCAGAGTGGTGCGCGCGAGTATCAGAGTGGTGCGCCGAGTATCAGAGTGTTACCATGGTAGCAGTGGGACGTATGACTTACCTTCTAGAAGTCTGGTGGATTTTTGTCAAGTCAATAGAAAAGTCAGTAGAAAGAAACGTTTTGCTGCAACCTGCTGCTGTCTGTGCGAATCTCAGAGTGGTGCGCGCGTGTATCAGAGTGGTGCGCCGAGTATCAGAGTGGCTGCAGTATGAGCATTGGAAGCTCAAATCAAGCGACTCGCTGGCTGTGTATTTATTTGTTGTTAAATATCAGATAAACTACTACGCATACGTGACTGGCGAGGCGGTGTGTGTGGTGGGGGGGCCAACAAATATATCAGGGTGGCCATGGCCCCCCCTGCCCCCCCCCCCCCCTGCTGGCGCCACTGTTTTGAAGCACTGGCAGCCAAACTACCAACCCAGTCTCATAAAAAAACGTGTAATAACTACGTTGGTCCACAACTTGAGACGTAGTATTTCCACAAAAACGCCTCTGAAATTGTAAGATCCCTACGTTTTTTTTCACCATTCATTCCAATGGCTGGCGTCTATGTCACATGATCTTCAAATTCCTCCCTGCAGAAAAAAAAAAAATGGCCGAACTTCGTTTTATTCTCGGTGGAAAATGCCTATTTTAAGGTTAGTTTGGCCATTAAAATGCATTTTGATGTCATTTGATGCGAGAAATATGAGTTGTTATTTCAGATTATGTGTGCAGTGGATGTACATGATCTTTAGTTTGCTAGTTATTATGAAGATTACTTCAGGAAATTGTGTCCATTCAACGTTTTCATTGTTACCAAGGTGGTTGCTAGGGACGCTGCTATCGATATTATTTCTGTTATGTTGTGTTTAATGGTGTTATCTTTATTGCTACACCCTTCCCCAGTCAATTTATAGTGTTGGTCCACAGCGCAAACTTATTAGTTTAACAAAATCCGCATCTAAAATTGTGGCATAGATACATTATTTTCCCCTGTGCAATTCTCCATTTACTCAACAATAACACAAAATTATCCTTGTGTTTATTTATTTGTTTGATTAATAAACACAAGTTGGAGTCCGTCAGGACCGAGGGTCGGAGCAGCTCATTTGCTTTAGAGAATATTACACCCGGAAGTAAGTATTCTCTCCGCTTCGCTTGACAAACCCCGTGATAGTCCTCAAGCTCTGTGATTGGAGAGTGTGCTCCGAGGATTACGCCAAGCGTCGAACAGCACTTGAAATGGGATGGAACCACGGCAGACTGTCCAAAAATGGGGCGAAGCCTGCGAGCTAGTTCAGGCAGGCCCATTCCCAAACCGCCCCCTACAACCTACCCCTCCGTTTGCGCGTTCACGCGGAGGGTCCGCCTTATTGAGGGCTGTTCCAAAGCAACGAGTGTGGAGGGGGAGTGGGCTATCAAGCCCTCAAACAGCGAGTCTGCAGCGGTGCTGACTTGAGACCGGTCTCTACCTGACCGGAGTCACGCTGTGTGTGTCCGTCAGGAAACACGCTGTTTACAAGTAGTTCCAGCAAACATCCACTGATAAATTGCGATGTTAACAACCTCATGATAACCTCATATGTTTTTAACTTAGGATCATACCTGTGTTTAGTCTAGAAAAAGGTAAATGTGTGCATTTTATTATAAAGTTGTGTATATGTACAGACCGTTGCAAAAACAAAGAAGCTTATAAACATCAGGTTTAAAACTAAAAGAGCTTTGAAACACATTGAAAGATGTTTGGAGTTTTATTTGAGTTATTCATTTAAACTTTTTGTCTAAGAGATGCTGATTTGAAACCGTTGTTACATACAGTTACGGCATTTCCTGTTTCTGCCGGAGAGAGGGGAGGCCGTCCCAAAGCTTGCTGCTGTATTTACTCCCTCCATCTGACAGGAGGGAGCCTCGTTGAGCTGCGAGTGTGGCTTCAGACGGAGTTCACTCCATCACGGAGGGGTAGGGTCGAGGGAGTGGTTTGGGATTGGGCCGCAGTCAACTCGAGCATTTCCGCTGCATTCATACATAACGCCCCCTTGCCACTCTACAACCAACCAAACAGAGTCTCCTTAATATGCCACTCTATTTAACCTGCCAGATCTCTCTCCATGCATTGCTTGGTGCTGCTATTACTGCAGCTCTACGTCGCTGCTGCTTGCCTGCTGCGTTCACTTGCTATTGCTGCGTTCATGTTCCTGCTGCTGTGTTTCATGTTGCTGCTGCTTGCCTGCCGGTGCTGTCCTTGCAAATGTCTATTGCAATCTCCGACTCTGGAACCGAATCATCATACGCAAGAAGCCGTAAGAAATGCCTCATTCCCGAAACACAGGCTAGCTCAGAGCATGGTTCAGACGCCGCTGGAACGAGCCATAGCTCCCGCACGACACACATTCAGGTGTCCCTTCCGTCCTCATCTGGAGTAACTTTTAATATCCTTTGGGCCAGAGGAAGTCCCGAGTTCTACGCC